TATAGTACAGTAAAATGGAAATAATTTGCTCAGATTGAAGCTTAAAAAAACAACAAATTGTTTTCCATGCGTGCAGGTGAGCGGATGATCAATTTCACACAAAATCTTAATCATATTTAGATATGTTAGTTAGATACTCATACAGAGAGAAACTCAAAGAAACATTTGTACTGACAGATGTGAAGAGAGAGGCAGATGTAGAAGTAAAAGTGAATGGGCTAGCAGATGGAGGACTAGATATAAAGGAGCAGATGTGGTTAATTGTATTTGCAGGTTTTCCCGCAGGCATTTATTCCCTCATTCTTTATGAGAGGACACTGGTCATGAAACACTTTGCCTTTCAGTTGTTGATTGAGTTCTCCCAGAGACCTGATCGTCATTCCAGATTGATCCACATTGTTGCCCCAGTGTGCAGCCGATATCCACTTCTTCATCTTGGGGTTGTAGCAGCAGAATGCGGACCAGAGCATGGAGGGAATATTAACCCTGTTGTTGAGGTTTTTATTTTGTTCAGGGCCGGGTGTTGCTCCCACCACCACAAAGCCTTCGTTGTTGCAGTTATGATCCATAAGACATTTGATGCACTTCTCCATATTGCTCCAGCTTCCAGTGTTGAATGCTGTTATTTGTGGAGCGACGTTGGTCAGGGTGAAGGTGGATATTTTGTCATCTTGATTGAACGCATGAGTACTTGGAAATAAATGGCCCTTGTTATACCCTTTAGCATTATTATAATCAACAGTACTGGCCTGTTTTGAGTAGGGTTGGTTTTCTTCTACATCTGCCATGTTCTTGTTGTCCTTTGAATTCTCAAGCTGTAAGAATTAAAAACAAAGTTAATGAAGCAGACAGAGTATCCATAAAGTAAATTAAATGTACAGTAAAAATGCAGTTTAATTGTCAGTCTTATTCCTCTGTGCTGTAGAGCTTCATTGTTGTCAGTGAGCTACACTGTTGCTCTGGGTTACATGTTCCTTCATTACCATGAACACACACACTGTAGTTTAATTTGACTCAATCCTGGTGATGAGTATGATTGTTATTCCTAGTCGTAGATGTATTATTATTATTTTTAGTAGTTAACAGTAGTAGCAGTTGAGGATGTACTAGTGGAAATTACTTTACCCAAAATACAATGTTACTGTATGTTCATTAATTCACACCTGTGGCTCTATCATCCAAGGGTCCCCTGCAGGTCTTCCCCCTTCTCCTTCCCCTCTGTACTTGTAAGCAGAAAACACTGGAATCTTGTTCTTGGTGTCGTAGAGTGTCAGAAACCTTCTCTCATTATTGTAAGTCTGGCAAATGGGTTTGTATCGGTTCTGGTTCTGGATTTCTTTTTTTCTGGGCTTGAAGATGTCTGGGAGCTCTGGTGAAAATTCTTCAAGAAGAAACCCTTTACACTTTGACAAATCTTCTACCACCTCAGCCACTGTGGGAACAGTGGACAGGGAGAGGAAGGCAGCGAGGAACCAGAGAGACCTTGTCTTCAGTTTCACCATCTTCAAACACTGTATCATTGATCAGAGGAGAAAACAAAAACAATCAATCATTAGAGTTAAGTTAGGTTGCAGTTACACATATAGTTTATTTTCTTCAGTTAAGTTGCCTCTTGACTGAAGATGTAGAGTAAAACATTGGTCTTGTCTTCTCTTGTAAAAAAGAGTGAGTTTTGAGGGTGCTAGTGTCATTTATACATTATGAGCATATGCTTTTTACATTAGCAGCTCTATTTTGCTCTTATTGGATTTTGTCAGAAATTAATACAAACCCCAGGAAACTTTTCAACTAGTCGGTTAGTCGTCAAGTCTCACTTAAGAGGGTCTATTTAATAAAATGTAACATCCCCTTCGCCTTTACATTGAAAACAAATGCTACAATACCAATCGCTCCATTATGGGTCCCAGGAAGGGGGATGGAAGATAACAGCTATGCTTCAGCAAATGAGTATTCACTTAATTTTCAATGTCAAATGTGAGGGGAAAAGCCTAAAGTAAATATAATGTATGTAATAGTAGTAATAGGAATAGTATTAAGGAAGATAAAACTTACCAACTGGTGTAAAGGCTTCCCAAAAGTCTTCCAAACAGCGTCTTCGCCTTTACCCAGCAGTGGAAACCAGAAGGTCTTCCTCAGCTATGAAACAAGCTCATGGAGGGAGTCTAATTTATACAGAACATTCAGCAGTTTATGGCAGTGAAAGAAAGGATGTGCTAACAGTAAGTAATGGATTACTCATAATTAACACGTGTCCAGACAAAGACTCCACACAGTTCCTCAGTTCAGTCCAAACTGAAGACACTAAAAGACACTTTGCATAACTGTGGAATGAAAATACTGTTCATAACCTGATGAATATAGGACCCTGAAACTGACAGTTAGATAGGGGAGCAGAAGTCTGCATGTACAAAGAGCATTAAAAGTTTGACCAATTCAAATTTGGACCTGATAAGACTGGAACTTTAGCCTCATGAAGCTGGAGCACAATACGTACCGTCTCATACATACAGACAGATTTAGTGTTTTCTTCTCCCTGACACTCGAGCATTGTTCGATTAGCTATTTGGTTGTTTAACTGTGGTCCTCTTCTAAAGCAGGACGAGGCTGTTTATCAGAGAGTTGAAACTCAGAGAATACAGCTTTTTGTCTTCAAAGTTTAGATCTTAAATAATAATATAAACTTTAATCCAATTTTCTTTCACATAAATTAATAAAAAATCTGACATAAGTTTTCTTAAACCCCTTAAAATCAATAGGGCCTCACAACCTCCCTGTGAAGCTTTTGTCCCGACCCCCAGATGCTTTAATACGATACGATAGAGCAGTCCAAGGCTCTTCTGCCTAAAGCACCGCCGGTCTGTTCTCCCTCTTTCTCTTGTTCAGGGAGACAATACCTACCTACACCGCTTCATTCATGTGCTGTGATGCGAATATGCAGTAAATAAAACTATTAATAAAAGCAAATTATTATATATTGAGTCTCAATGCAGACGGGAACAAACTCAGATGATCAGGTGAGAAATTGGAATATGTGAACAGTTTAGAACATAGACATATAATCTGTAGCTATGATTAAAATATCTGCTATCTTGGGGAAATACAGCCTATAAATGTGACTTTAAATGTCAAAAGTCATCAAAAATGTTCTAAATGTGCAAACCCCCCCCTCTTTCCAGGTTGCCCAGCAAAGCCTTAAACAGACTCCAGTATGTACACATCACCCCACCCTAATCCACCTCCACTGGCTCTGCAGTCAACGCCCACATTTCATGCAAAATCCTCCTGCTCACCTACAGGTTTAACGTAGCATATACCACTTATTTGCAGATGGTATCCAACTTTTCACTTTTTTTTCAGACCTAGTGAGTCTTTTAGGTTATCTACGCCAACGGTTCCCAACATTTTTCCTCAAGGGACACTTTTAATATCTACCAGTAAACTGACGACCCGTGACTATGTGACATATTTAATGGATATTTAAAATTGTAGTCAATGTGTAACAACCACAGTAGAGAACGGCTGATAAACTGTACAATGAACCCAAACAGTGACTGCTGGAAGTTATGTAAATTCTGGATGAATTTCCTAGGAATATTGCGACAGAAACTAGTTTTCCTGATGTGTTCAGGAACCTTTGATGCAATTCTCTGTCTGTATTGTGTTTTTACCAATCATAAATACTTCTTTTTAAACAAATTTAGTGTTTTCTTCTCCTTGACATTCACTCGGCATTGTTCGATTAGCTATTTGGTTGTTTAACTGTGGTCTTCTTCTAATGCAGGACAAGGCTGTTTGTCAGAGTTAAAGCTCCGTGAATACAGCTTTTTGTCTTCAAAGTTTAGATCTTGACTAATAATCTAACCTTTCATCCAGTTTTCTTTCACAGAAAATAATAAAATCTGACATAAGTTTTCTTAAACCCCTTAAAATCAAGAAGGCCTGCAACCTCCCTGTGAAGCTTTTGTCCCGACCCCCAGATGCTTTAATACGATACAATAGAGCAGTCCAAGGCTTTTCTTCCTAAAGCGCCAGGGTCTATTCTCCCTCTCCTCTTGCTCAGGCAGTCAATACCTACCTACACCGTTCTGTAGGTGTGGTGTGGAGGGGTAGGAGCAGGAGGGCGCTCACTGCTTGAGTCCAGTTCAAGACATTAAAAGACACTTTGCATAACTGTGGAATGACAGTTAGATAGGGGAGTACAAGTCTGCATGTACAAAGAGCATTAAAAGTTTGACCAATTCAAATTTGGACCTGATAAGACTGGAACTTTAGCCTCATGAAGCTGCAGTTTTTGGAGCACAATACATACCGTCTCATACATACAGACAGATTTAGTGTTTTCTTCTCCCTGACATTCGGGCATTGTTTTATTAGCTATTTCATTGTTTAACTGTGGTCCTTTTCTAATGTGGGACGAGGCTGTTTATCAGAGTTAAAGCAGCTGTTTGTCTTCAAAGTTTAAATCGTGTGTCGTAGTGGTGTGGAGGAGCAGGAGGGCGCTCACTGCTTGAGTCCAGTTATAGACAGTTTTTACCTAAACTCTCTCTGTAAATAGTTCATTTGAGCTTTCCTCTCTCTCCTTTCTCTCCAGATCTCTGGATTAAGTCTGGTGTTAAATTTGTGCCTCATCCCAGAGGTTATCTACAAACATGCAAATAACCCCTCACTCACACAGTTTTACTCATATCTCACCAACTCTGGTTATTGCCCCTATGATCATGCAGAGTAATTGGGGTAATATATGACAAATCCTCATCATTTGATACCCATGTCTTGTTTTATCCACCTCAGAAATATAAGTAAACTGAGGCCCATCTCAATTGTTGAACTAGAGATGATCATACATATGTGGCCGCCCCGTCCCTCTGGAACTCCCTC